CAGTAAGTTTTATATTTTCAGGTGTTTTCGTGATGGTTGTTATCATTCTTTCTCTTCTAGGTGTTGGACTCTCCCAAGCATTTCTTGTAAGGCTAGTATGGTAGTGGTGAATTTTCCTAATTTTTGCTTGTCTAAAAAAGACTTTATTTCTTCTTCATTTCTTTTTTTTCCTTTTTTTTTGTCTTTAGAAAAACCTTGTAGCTTTCTTACTGTTAGATATCACAAGTTGGGTAGGTGAGACGAGGGACAGTGAGGGCTGGGAATGGGCTGTGGAACTGAGGGCTGGAAGGGAGGACCATGGGCCAGGGCCCTGGTGCCTCAGACCACACATCACCCACCCTGTAGTGCCAAATCTGTAGGGATCTCTCAGGAGCCAGGTGGGGGTGGGCCTGGAGAGTCCTGGGATAGGAGACAGCTGGGACCCCCAGGTGACAGAGGCCTCAGGTGCCCCAGACCTGTGGCAAATGGCAAGAGGCAGGCAAGGTGTCTGGCAGTGCTGTGGCTCATCTGGTGGGAGGGGCACAGGGAGCAGGCAGAGCTGATCAGGCCATTGTAGCCAGCTCTTCAGGCTCTTCCTGCCGTCTCTGGGGCCATACCACTTTTCAGCAGTTTTCTCTGTTGCCAACATCTGGGTGTTCTGTCCTTCATATTTAAGGAATCCTTGCTGGTGGCACTGCTGTAACTACTACTGGAGTAGCTAATTTTGAGTTGTATTTTGATAAGATCAAAGCTGTGGTGTTCTTTGTAGAAGGAATTCCAAACCAGAAGTGCAGTATGTAGGTGCCAAGAAGGGAATTCATCTACTTGGCATAGTTTCTGAGGCTGGGAAGTCCACATTCCAGGAAACACGTCTGGTGAAGTGACTCTATGGCAATGCAGGGTGTCACATGGCAAGAATGCCAGAACAGAGAAAGAGAGCTATTTCTTCTTCGTTTCTGAAGGAGAGCTTTGCTGGATATATTCTTGGCTGGCAGTTTTTTTCTATTAGTACTTGGAATATATCATCCCATTCTCTCCTGGCATGTAGGGTTTCTGCTGAGAAGGCTGCTGTTAGTCTAATGAAGATTTCTTTATAGGTGACTTGACGTTTTTCTTTTGCTTTTTTTTGAATTCTGTCTTTGTCTTTAACTTTGGATAGTTTGACTACAATGTGTCTTGAATCTATTAAGAGACCATTGAGCTTCCTGGATTTTGAATGTTTGTATCTTTCCCAGGACTAGGGAAGTTTTCAGCTATATTTTCATTACACATGATTGCAGTATCTTTTTTGTTTTCTTCTCCATCTGGAATACTCATAATTCGAATATTTGTTTGCTTAATAGTGTCCTGTAGATCTTGTAGGTTTTGTTCATTCTTATCTTTTTTTGTCTTCCTATGTTATTTCCAAACAGCTGTCTTCAAGATCAGAAATTCTTTTTTCTGCTTGATCTACTCTGTTGTTAAGACTCTCAGATGTATTTCATTTGATGAATTCAATTCCAAAATTTGTTCGATTTTTTTTTAATGATACCTATCTCTTCGTTGAATTTCCGTATCATGAACCATTTTTCTGATTTCATTGAATTGTTTGTATCTCAGTTTCCTTAAAATTTTAAATTTGAATTCCTTTTCCAGCAAGCTAGCAATTTCCAATTCTTTGGGATCAGTTACTGGAGCATTGTTATGTTTCTTTGGTGTCGCATTACCTTGTTATTTCATGTTTCTTTTTTCCCTGGGTTGATCTCTGTGCATCTGGGAGAACAGTCACCTCTTTGAGGTTTGTATAGTGGCTTGCATCAGGAAAGACTTTTACCCACAAATGTGTCTTAGGGTGTCCATTGGGTACAGTACAATGGCTTTGTTCTGGATGGGTGCAGGATTGTAGACTCTGTGTAGTTTCTTCAGCTGTAATTCACTTCCACCATGTCTGTGAGTGAATCAGCAGCTTATGCTTGAGAGGTTTGTGGCGGCAGTGGCATAGCTTTGCCAAGGAAGGATTTGCTGGGCTGTTACACAGTTCAAGGGTGTGTCCGTGCATCCTGTGGTTCAGTCGTCTTGGGAGCTGGCTCTCTGGGGATGGAGTTGCTGGATTGATTCTCAGGCTGAGGGTGTGGGTGTATGGTGTGTCAGGGTCTCTGGGACTGATTTGTCACTCAATTCCTTGGAGTGGCATGGTCACCATGCTTCTTCTCTGACCAGAGGGGGGACCACCAGGGGTAAGTCAGCCACACTATTTCTCACTTGGGTATGTGTGTGTGCGCGATGGCTCAAAAACTCAAAAGTGGGTCTTCCAGGGGCATGACTGTTGGGGTGTCTCTCTGAGCCAGGGCTGTAGGCACTCTTTGGCTCAGCTGTCTTGGTATGGGTCTGCCAGTTTCCTATCCAGTGTGCCACTTCTTAGGGCCAGGTGATAGGTCATGCTTCTGTCAGAGGTTCAGGAGCAGGTCTGCCAAGGGCAGGGCTACTGAGCTGCTTCTTGGGCAGTGTATGAGTCTTCAAGGTGGGACAGCAAAGAGAGAGTCCTTCCAGCAGCTTCTTGAGTGGTGGGCAAGATCAGGAAGTGGGCTCGATGAGAGGAGGCCTGGCCAGTTACTTCTTGGGCTGTGTGTGAGGCTGCAAGGAAGACCTGCAGAGAGGGGGCCCAGCCAGCCGCCTCTTGGGTGGTGAGTAAGGCCTTAAGGAGGGGTTGCAGAGAGGAGGCCTGGCCAGCTGCTTCTTAGGCATCGGCAAGACCACTGGGTGGGACTGTTGAGAGTGAGACTGCCTAGCCACTTCTCCATGATGGTGCAGATGCACTTTATTTCCACCTACCAGACAACGTGTTTGTTAGGGTAGTGACCCGTGAGCTGTTTTCCAGGTTAGAGGCTCAGGTGCACAGAACTTAGCTTGGAGGGCTTTAAGAAATAAGGATTAATGTAACCTATTACAAATCTTAGTTTTGATTTTTATTTAGTTGAAAAATGTCCACAGTTTTTTACATGACAAAACTTAGCAGCAAATACAATTGAAGCAATGCTTACTGAGTAAAATGTTGGTATGGGCTGGCTCAGCTGGTTAGAGCACGGTGTTGATAACACCAAAGTCAAGGGTTCGGATCCCCTCACCAGCTAGTTTTGCCCCCCCCCCCCCCCCAAATAAGTAAATAAAACGTTGATAGGGCCGAGCCCGTGGCGCACTCAGGAGATGTGGTGCTGGGAGCGCAGCAGCGGGTTTGGATCCTATATGGGGATGACCAGTGTGCTCACAGCGCTCACTGGCTGAGAGTGGTGCGGCCAGTTTCAAAAAAGGACACACACACACAAAAAAAAAAAGAAAAAAAAAAGTTGATAAACATGAGTGTGTTTAATTTTTTTATTTTCATGAGTTCTCTTCAGATATTATGCAGGGAATTCAGATCAGTTACATGCACATTCCCATCATTTATTATATCCCTTGAATTAAAATAAATATTTTTAGTGAATGAGGTTAAGTTTTTACATATAAAATATTTAAAAGAAAAATTTTAAGTTCTTGAATCCTTGGAGATATGTAAATGAATTGGGTATTTTACATATTGATATTAAAATAGCAGGAAAATTATTTTGCAAATACACAATTTTTTTAAACTTGGCAAATACAGAGAAGCATAAATAGATATTAAAATTTGTGTTTAAGCCTGGTCAGTTAGCTCAGTTGGTTATAGCACAGTGTTATAACACCAAGATCAAGGGTTCGGATCTCCTTACCAGCCAGCCACCCCAAAAACAAAAACAAAAAAAAGAAAATTGGTGTTTAATCTGACTACTCAGAAATCACCACAGTTAGCAATTTGGTGTCTTTCCCTTATCAGAATAATTCATGTTTTTTGTTGTTGTTGTTTTTTTTTTGTCCTTTTTCTTTTTTGAGACCGGCCGCACCGCGCTCAGCCAGTGAGCGCAGTGAGCGCACCGGTCATCCCTATATAGGATCCGAACCTGTGGCGGGAGCGCTACCGTGCTTCCAGCGCCGCACCCTCCTGAGTGCGCCACGAGCTCGGCCCAGAATAATTCATGTTTAATCTAAGGCCTCCTTCAACCTTCATATGAAATGCTTCTCTAAACCTCTTTTATAACACTTTAATACTTTGGACAATAATTTTCAAACTCTCCTTAGTCTGGTCCATTCTGACGTGTTTGTAATTCCCCAAACACTTCTTATTTTATCATTCCTCCATGCCTTTGTACATGTTCACTGTGCTTAAAAACCCCTTGCGTTCCCGGTGAACTTCCATTCCTCCTTCAGAATCCAGTCTTCTATATTATGTCCTTTGAGAAGACTTCTTTGCCTCACTCTCCCTCTCCAATAGAGTGAATCACTCCATCCTTTTATATTTCTGCTATACCTTATAAAACTGTTATTACATCTTACCACATTCTATTGCAATTTTTTATTTGTATGTGCTTCCCATGCTTCTTTTTTGGAGGGTGTGTGTGGCTAATCTATTTGTCTGTATCTACACCAATATTTAATCTTATTAGGTAAGATTACGGTATGGCTGATATCCGATAAAGCTGGTTTCCCCTTACCTGTTTTCTTTTTCCAGTAACTTTTTTCTAATGGATTTAGCAGCCATTGATGATGATTGCTTGATTTCTTATTTCAGTAAAGGTTAATACCTTTGCTTTTAAGAACTTGACTTTACACATTTTTAAAAAAATTTTTTTATCCTTTTTTTTGAGACTGGCCGCACCACGCTCAGCCAGTGAGCGCTGTGAGCGCACCGGTCATCCCTATATGGGATCCGAACCCGTGGCGGGAGCGCTGCTGCGCTCCCAGCGCCACACTCTCCTGAGTGCGCCACGGGCTCGGCCGGACTTTACACATTTAAAACATATAAATGATACTGGTTTCTACAGTATATCTCTTGAGCTTTAAAAGTACATCTATAAAATAGCCACTTCAAGGCTGAGTATGAGTAATTATTGCTTTCTCAGTTTATAGATTTTTAAAAACTAAATTGGCTTTCTTTTTGTTTCCTTCCCCCAACCCCCAAACCCTGACAGATTGAAGAAGAGATGTTGGCTTTGCAGAATGAACGTACAGAACGAATACGAAGCCTGCTGGAGCGTCAAGCCAGAGAAATTGAAGCTTTTGACTCTGAAAGTATGAGACTAGGTTTTAGTAACATGGTCCTTTCTAATCTCTCCCCTGAGGCATTCAGCCACAGCTACCCGGGAGCTTCTGGTTGGTCTCACAATCCTACTGGGGGTCCTGGACCTCACTGGGGTCATCCCATGGGTGGCCCCCCACAAGCTTGGGGCCATCCAATGCAAGGTGGACCTCAGCCGTGGGGTCACCCTTCAGGGCCAATGCAAGGGGTACCTCGAGGTAGCAGTATGGGAGTCCGTAACAGCCCCCAGGCTCTGAGGCGGACAGCTTCTGGGGGACGGACGGAGCAGGGCATGAGCAGAAGCACGAGTGTCACTTCACAAATATCCAATGGGTCACACATGTCTTATACATAACTTAATAATTGAGAGTGGCAATTCTGCTGGAGCTGTCTGCCAAAAGAAACTGCCTACAGACATCGTCACAGCAGCCTCCTCACTTGGGTACTACAGTGTGGAAGCTGAGTGCATATGGTATATTTTATTCATTTTTGTAAAGCGTTCTGTTTTGTGTTTACTAATTGGGATGTCATAGTATTTGGCTGCCGGGTTTTGGTTTTTTTTTTTTTTTTTTAAACTTTTGGGGAAATTTTGAGAGGGGGAGTTGATGTTTTAAAAAATATGTGTGTGTGTGTACACACACATATATCTCATGCATGTGGTAAAAAGAAATTGACTAGATAAGGGGGTATTTTCTGAATACTGCAAAAATAAAATGCAGCAAAGTGGCTTGAGTCGTCGCTTTTGGGTGTCTGTATCCCAAGAACTTTGTGAAAAGATCTAAAGCCTTCCTCTATATCCCAGATTCTAATGAGACACTCACAGCAGGCAGCATATGCTAAAACAAGTTATTGGAACACACCTGCATCCCCTCAGAATGCATTTTTTAAATTAATTGGTCTGACTTCTCAGCCTCATTTGGAGTAAAAAGAAAGCAGAAATCCATGAACACTAAAGGATTGCATTGACTTCTTCAGAGAGTAGAAAACAACTTGATTCTTATTCCAAATGCTTCATAAGTTTGTCAATGATTTTTGTTCCTTCAGTTGTGCCTTCTTTGTGTCATGGTGAGATGGGGGTGCTTAAGGAGATCACAAGTTATAGGGATTGCATTAACAAACCTGTGAGCCTTCAAAGGGGAAGACCAGAAGGGTGAGGGGGCCCCTGAATGTTTATATGGTGGGTATGTCCAGCAGCAGGGTGGGGAGATGAAGCTTATATATCCTGAAATTTTATTGCTTATACTGTGATATATCATCCTAGCTAAGCTCTATAACTCCCAAGACCCCAAACAGTACTTTCACTTTGTACAAAAACAAAGACATACAGCCAGTACAAATCAAATGCCAGAGGTATTTGAAAGATGCCATATCTGTAAACTGCCATCTATTGGAGTTCTCATCACACTACATAGATGTAATTTGATTATCCCCTTTTGGCTTATGGGATTTCCTGTTTACAAGCAGAATAGCCAATTATTTAAATGTTTAGTTGCCATAGTGAACCAGGAGCCACTGAGCCAATGACTTTACCAGCTGCTGACTAATCCTCATCACCACTGTAGATTTTGCTGCATATGCAGGTCCTCTTTTTTTATTGCTGTTTTTGTTGCTGCAGTACTTTACAAACTTCTAGTTCATTGAGACTTAGTTAGTGACCATTTGGCACCAAGTTAAAATCACCCAATAGGAAAAACCACTTCCAGAAGTCTCAAGCCTCAGTGCTAAAGTACTACTGAAAAGGAACTAGGAAGTTTGGCAAATTAAGAAAATTTAAAAAATAATAATAAATAAAATAAAAATATAAACCAGTAAAAGTAAGTTATAGTGGTCAGGGAATCTCTTGATAAAATCTAACATTTTCTTTTGGGGGGATGAGGGGAATGTTTTATTTTGTTTTACAATGAAGGATCAATCCAATGCTGAAAGTCAGATGTAACTTGATATTCCATTGCTTGTGTGGAAATTGAGTTGGAGGTGGGTGGGGAGCTGTGAATATGACTTGAAGAAAAAATGTCCTTTTCAGTGACGGATCGGAATTTCTTACAAGTTATTGTCCTGCCCCCTCCCATAGATGTCTTTTTTTTTTTTTTTTTTTTTTTTTTTTTGGTGGCTGGCCTGTATGGGGATCCAGTTGTTTTGAAGAGCCCTTGCTGCTAACGCTGGATCCCGCTTTTCATATAGTCAGAGGGCTCGAGGGCTCCAAGGTAGAACGTGTAAGTTCCTCTCAATGATACTCATCACCTAGACCAAACTAATGACCAAATAGTAATCAATCACTGTTGAAGTCTTGGTTTTCTCAACCAAATTTTAAGTCTTCCCCAAGTATGTCAGTGTAGTCTGCATGATTCCTACCCCTTTAGGAGTTTCCAACATTTGTTTGAAGGTAATTGGAAGAAAAATTAGTACTTTAATATAAATCTTTTTGAAACCACAATCACAGTAGAGTTCACACACAGTTTGGGGCAGTGTTTTAAGTAACACTCTTATGTATTAGCCATGGTAAACATGACATGTATTTGTCATATGTAATGAAAGGTGCTTATAGTCTTCTCACTATTTTTTTTTGCATTCAAATATTATACAGTGTTTCAAACAAGTTGAGAAATCTACCTGTTTGGAGGAAAATCATAAGAAAGAGCTTTAGAATTTAGTAAAATGTTTAATATATAATGGAATTTGATACATTTAAAAAAATTCCTTATAGATCTGGCCCCTCCATACTACTGGAAGGATAGACTAGGTAGGGAAGCAGATCAGTTTTGCATATAAAACTCTTTAAAACCCAGAGTACGACCAGTGATACATTTTAGAGTCCAATTGTGGACTTAAATTAGTCAAATTGAATTACTGAATCCATTTAGATCATACGTACTTAAGAAAAGCATGATTGAGTACTGACTCCAAATGTCTATCCAGTAGAGCTTTGTATCTGACTTAATTGCTTGGCAGCCCGTTTTACATGTAGGTCATGACTATAGCTGGATTATACCATTAAGTTAATTCAATTAAAATATATATAGTTTGCAAAAATGATTCAAATTAATTGGTTTGTGTGTTGTGGGATCTGATTCCTGAGGAATCTCACACGTGATAGGAATAACCAGAGTGAAGCTGGTAGCAAGAAAATTTGAAAGGTTTTGAGATATCCTAAAGAAAGAACAAGCACTTTCTTATTCAGTGTGCAAATGTCAACATTTGATCAAATTAACACTACCTCCTCCCCAGTGTTGGTGTTCACACATTAGATATGTGTTTAAGAAAATAAAAAATACAGGAAATTTGACTAGCATATCAGAAGTCATAAATGCTCTATCTGGTATCCAGAGCCTGGCAGCAAAAAGTTTTATGTGTCCACTTTCCTTTTTTTTGGTTAGCATTTTAAAAATGCAGAGCCTTGAAATATATTATTTCTAATTGGGTTCCCTTCCCTTTGCACATATTTCTTGTCCTCTTGTTAAAACCAGCTCTAACCCCAAATTATAGTATCTGAAAGTATTTTCATTATATAAATAACATTTGCTGAAAAATAGTTTATTATTTTTATTTAGAGCTACCATTCTTTTTAGTCATTTCTACACCTAAAGATGAATAGTCTCCTGCATTTGAAGCCACACCCACACGTATAATATGCTTAATACTCTAGGCCCAGGATTTATTGATAAATTGAACTTTTTAGCATAGACATTATGATTTTCAGCTGCCTAGACATCAGGTAAACACCATTCAGTACACTAAAGAAACACTCCCTCCCACTTCCACTGATTTTTCCTCACCCCCTTTTCAAGAATAGAAAACTCTATGAGTGAGTGTCTTTTTCAGACCATAAGTCAGACTTTAGTAGCTTTTCTACTTCTGTAAGTACTAAATGTCTGGCATTTTAAACTTTTATAGAATACATTGTGTTGGACACTGGAATAATACTATTTATTTTCACCTGTGAAAAATGACTTTATCGTACTTGAAACACCTCTTTTGCATTTCTCCATTTGTGCCATTCACTAGTGGAAATAAATTGTATTATACCATGATCTACTGGCTTTTAAAAACTGTGTTAAATATGCACATTTTTGGTATAGCTATTATCATTTGTATGTATATATTGTATATACATATGAGTGTCTATATGTGTGTACAGATAGATGGATGTATTTCATACTGTACATTTCCATCAGGTCACTTAAGTTTCTGTTGTTTTTGTTTGGTTTTTTTCAGTTTTCAGTTAAGGCAAGAATGCATGTGTTTCTTAAGAATAAGTACTCTGGGTTGATATTTATGAGAAGGTGGTCATTAGACACAATCTTTCCTTTTACTCCCCTCTTAGCACTAGTGTGAGTGGAGAGAAAGTTAAGTAAACTGTGGAACCAGAAGTAGCAATGCAGTAAAATAGTGCTGGGGAAGGAGCCAGTTAATGTTTCCGTGAGTTTGTGTTATGATGCAACAGAAGGTAAATGATGCAGAGAGAAATGAACCTTGGAAAGTAAGAACACTGGTGGTGATTCCTCTGCAAAGATGATAAAAAGAACCCGTAAATCACACAGTCTTTATGTACTTTCTGTATGTATTTCTTAGTAGTAATGCCATTGATCCTCTCACTCTTTTTACTCCATTAATAGTATTAGTTATATATTTTGCTGAGGATCAAAACATCCAAGAAAGGAGTTACTGCTAAAACATGTATGGTTCTCCTAAACTATGAAATCAGTAGGAAATGGCCACTGGGAGAGAAGGATATGGTATTGGTGTGAGTGGCTTTCTCCCTTTAGCTGTCTCCTCTTGCTTGCTGACAGTAAGTTCTTTGTGCACCTTCCACCCCTTCCGAGCCATTACTATTCAAACAGATTTGGCCCAGCCCAGCAACCCTTTCCTTGGAAGTTTATCTGGTCCTGTGTTTTGTCCCATGCTTACAATGTGAAGTATCTTAGTGTGTATTCAAGTCAGAAAATAATATATTTAAAGTATATAAGTGTGAATCTCCTATAATGGTGGCTGAAGAGGTTCTCATTTCTTAGATAAGAAAGAGCCTTCTCTAAGGAACAAGGTCAAAACTTAGGCTGTCGTCTTTGAGCTGCTTACCAAAATACACATCATTATTGAAGAGAAACAAATTCTCTATTTTGTTTTCCCCCATCTAACGTGACAGTGCCCCCAACCAGGTTGTAGCATTGCCTTTAAAAGGCATTCACTCTTAGCTTTTAACTGGAAATTTCCCATCCTCAGATTGCTTAAAGGATGAAGAGTGTGCTATACATTTAGCAGACTTGCCTCTTATATGCAAGGACTACTGATTGAAGTCTGTTTTGCTGTGTTTGGTTATGTTGTCTGCACTTTTATGAAATCACTACAAAAGGTCTACATTGGAAATGACTATTAATTTGTAAAGAAGTAAGTTTTATTAAACACTGTCTAGAAAAAGAGAGTAAAGTTGAGAACTCTTCCTTTATTGTGCATTTATATTTTCTACTGAATTCTGGTAGCCCCCTTTAAAGTTATGTTGACTAATTTTTTCCTCCTTGTTTATATTCAGATTTCCAAAATTTCACTCATACAGGGGAAGAGAACTCATTTGGCCTAGTGGTAGTCTTCAGAGCATAAGAAATACGTAATTAATATGCACCTTATCTGCCTGTTGTGGGTTTCTTAAACTTGCACTTCCCACCCACCCAAAGATAGATATCCTTTAAAGAAAAATAAAGGCAGAGAAAACTGGGGAGCCATTTACTATGTTACC